ACGAGAGAAGAATAACCGAGCCAGTGTGACAAACCGGCCTAGGCGACTAGCCACCGGGGCGATGCCACGGTCGGGAATGGCGGCCGAGGCCGCAGGCCGAAGGCTGGGCCGCCCTCGGCAGCTCAGCAGCACCCTGGCTCTCAACGAAGAAAAGAGGTGCGCTGGAGCGCAGCTCAGCGCGGAGGGCCGCGCTCAGCCCCAGCACGCACATGCGCACGGCATGTCGCATTTGTAACTTGAGACAAACGATCACAGATTTTCACAAAGACAAACTAATAAGATGTTCATTTGTGAAAACAAAGACAGCTGGGATGATCTAAATCTCCACATCGACCACATGGAAGTGGTTACACAAGCACTAATGTATCTGGAACGATAGGAAGGCTTGTAAAATTGTACTTTTATAAAAATAGTTACAAAAATGATTCTACCTAAAACCTATTAATAAACGCACAGGAATAAAACCCAAGAAATCAAGATAAGCATGTAGTGTGAAGCACACGTAGTGTTCATCCCCGTAGCCTGGGGAGGTTAAGTATATACGCACATGCAAGGGGCGTGGGGAAAAAAGTGAGAAAGACAGACACCCCAAGTCAGACAACGTGGATCCACAACTCCCAAATTTACACAGGGCTGCTTTCTAGGGCTGGAACCAGTAGGATGATTTTTAATCATTTCTCAAATTACTTCTTTTGTGCTTTCTGTACTCTCCAACACCTCTATAAGATTAAGTGGAAGGGAATAGAATATCTAATCTCCCCACGGAGGCTCCTGACTCCCCAGCGGGGCTGGAAGGGGTAACTGACGTGTCCTCACACCCTGAGCAAGCCGATTTTCTTCTCCATATGTTCCTCTGAGTGCAAATCGATTCCTTGACTGACAAATACTGCCGGAGTGTCCCTGTGTGGTCCCTGCTCAAAGCAGTGGACACAGGCAGAAGCCACACCACCCTGCGCTCTGCAGGCTGACCCTGTAGCAGGGCAGGAAGGGGTCGTGAGTGAGGGACCCACGCTGTATGCGGGATATGGCCCGGGGCTCAGTTCTGCAAAGTAAGCCAGGCAGGAGCAAAAGAGGAGCCGGCAGGCATGGGATAGCTCCGTCTGGGGCTGAGGGGCCTCCCCAGGAGTGTGGGCAGCTGGGGGCACAGTGGTGGGCAGGAAAACCCTCCCTCCAAGTCCCAAGGAACTCAGGGAGCCAAGTGAGAAGAGGAGACAGGTTCTGAAGTTGCAGCCCAGGGAGTCTCAGCGCCCCCACAGCCAGGAGCCTCACACTCTGACTGAACGCAGGACATCTGCCCCTCTAAGGACACAAATGGTCACTGTGACAGACCAGCCAGCAGAGGGTGCCCAAGGGAGTGGGGAGAACCAACGAGGCTGTGGGAGGTGTCCAGGGAAGCCAGCAAATCTGGCTGGGCAGAGGCCGGCATGGACAGCCCTTCACACCGGGACTCAGGACCAGTGGAAAAAGCCATGTACTGTCACTTGTTTTACGTGGCCTCTTCAGGTAAGGATTTTCAAGTGGCACAAGTCACTGCTTTCACTGGG